TGTCTGTGGGAGAGGCTCGCACCGCTGCAACTGCACTTGCCAGCGGTGAGCCGGGGAGCTTGGTGCCCATCAGTACAGATTTGTGCACCAGTGGGCTCCCTCAGCCTGGCCTGTGGGGATCAGCAGATCTCGGCGCCGCCGCAGCCCAGTCTTACCCGCCAGCTCGTTGGGCTCCGGCCCACTGTCCACCTCGATCCCACACAGCACAAAGTAGTGCGTGAAGTGGCAGGTGGCCAGGGAGGAGCCTGAGCCTGGGCTGGGCACCGTGCCGCTCCTGCTCATCCCGTCCCCGCTGCACGCCTACTGCTGCCGCTCACTCAGGCGTGCAGGGGGAGTGTCTGTGGGAGAGGCTCGCACCGCTGCAACTGCACTTGCCAGCGGTGAGCCGGGGAGCTTGGTGCCCATCAGTCAGCTGAGCCGCGCTCCCACTGTGGGAGTACACTATCACCAGGGGGCAACCCCTGCATTGAGCATCTGCCCCATGGTGGTCAGTGCATGTCATAGCAACCGGCCAGTTATCCTATCGTTTAGGCTTTTATATATATAGACTAGAGGCCCATTGCACGAATTGGTGCACCAGTGGGGTCCCTCAGCCTGGCCTGTGGGATTGGGCTGAAACCAGCTCTCTGACATCCCCCAAGGGTTCCCAGATTGCAAGAGGGCGCAGGCCAGGCCGAGGGACCCCACTGGTGTACTACTGGGCCGGGGAGAGATGTGGGAGATTGGCCAGCCAGGGAGGGACCGTGGGAGGGCTCCAGAGCATGTCCAGCCCATCTCGCTCAGTCCTGATCAGCCAGACCCCAGCAGCAAGCTCATCTACCAGTTGGAGCCTCTGCCCGTGGTGGTCAGTGCACATGATAGCGACTGGTCGACTGTCTGCCCCCTGGTGGTCTTTGCACGTCATAGTGAGTGGTTGAGCAGCTTTAGCATATCATTAGCATACTATGCTTTGATTGGTTGAATGGTTGAATGGCTGACTGGACAACTGGACGCTTAGCATATTAGGTTTTTATTATATAGGACACATTACATACATACGTACTTTTTAAAATTCTAAAGAGAACTAATCACATTTCCCTCTGTAAGATTCGCAGCACACAGGTACCTTTAAAAGGAATTTAGGGTCTATTCCAGCAAAGACACAGTTGGATTATAAAAACAATTAATGCAAATAATTTTACTAACCCTCAGCAAATCTTAGAAGCAAATATACAGTAGGGTTGTTTTTGTCTTTAAAAAAAACAAACAGCTCTTAATTGCATATCTAGGTCACAATAAGGAAATCTAAATAAAATTAACCTAATTTGGTTCGTGGAATAAATGGCCCAATACAAAGTCCTGCTGTTCTTAGACATATGATGATCATCCAGGACAACAGAACACAGATGTCATCTGAGGGCTAATGAAGAGAAAGGGGGAGTTACATTCCAAGGGCTAAGGCTTCTAAGGACCAAGCTTCAAGTGACAGAAGTCAGGTAGAGCCACCTTCTGCTGTACCCTCTGACTCTGATGCCCCTGGCATCACCTGCCTGATGTGGGCCCTTCCGATTTTCCCTTCTGAGGCCTCAGTCCTCTCCTTTCTCAGCGTCAGCCCCACCCTCTCCCCTTCACTCGACAGCCACCCAAGCCGGATCCGTGGCTGGGCTCTGTGACAGTGTGCCCCTGTGTGCCCTGCTCCCCATCCCAGTCCGTGCAGAAACACCTGACACTGACTTTACAAGAGCAGACACTTGTGCTTCTGCACCGTCTCAGTACATATCTGCACTGTTCACACAGCGTGAGCACATTCGCATCAGGGCTTCACACAGTCCTTCCTGTTCGAGGCTGCTAACTCCTCATCAGAACCTCCAAATGGACCTAAGTTACGGGAGTCCAATGGCAACTTCTAGTTTCTTGACCAGGCTGTGGTGGGTCACCAGGACCACACCCATCACCCTGGCTTCCTATGATGATCCAGCTTGGAACATATTGTAGGCTCCTGCCTGGAGCCTGGGCCTCTGCAAATGGCGCGCTCCTCAGCATGCCTCACCTGAGGACCCCCACGCGCTCCAGGCTGAGGCCGAAGGGACAGCCAACAGTGTAACCCATGAGCCAGCTCACGAATGGGAACAGCCACGAATGTCGGACCTGTTGCCGCAGCTCTGGCGAGCTCAAAGATGCTGGGAGCCTTGCCAGGGTCCCATTTCCCTTCTTCCTGACCCCTTAAAACACACATTCAGCTGGACCGGTGTGGCTCAATGGTTGAGAATCAACCTATGAACCACGAGATCAAAGTTTGATTCCCCTTCAGGGCACATGCCTGGGTTGTGGGCTCAATCCTCAGTGGGTGGCGTGTAGGAGGCAGCCGATCGATGATTCTCTCTCATAACTGATGTTTCCATCTCTCTCTCCCTCTCCCTTCCTCTCTGAAATCAATTAAAATATATATTTTTTAAAAAGACATTCAGTTTATAGTTCTGTGACAACCTAGAGCAGTGATGGTGAACCTTCTGAGCTCGGCGTGTCAGCATTTTGAAAAACCCTAACTTAACTCTGGTGCTATGTCACATATAGAAATTTTCTGATATTTGCAACCATAGTAAAACAAAGATTTATATTTTTGATATTTATTTTATATATTTAAATGCCATTTGACAAAGAAAAATCAACCAAAAAAATGAGTTTGCGTGTCACCTCTGACACGCGTGTCGTAGGTTCGCCATCACTGACCTAGAGGATTACGAATATGAGACTATAAAGGATTGTAAAAGAAGCCCTTGTTTGACACATATGCAGGAGATGAAGTTTCAAATGGTTTTCAGATTTCCAGTTGCCACAGTTTCAGCTCCAAAGTACACAACAAGTGGCCCCCGTAACTCCACAGCGCTGTCGGCCTCTATGTCAAACACGAGTAAGCTGCGTTGAAATGGACCACCCCTCAGCAGGGCTGCAAGCCACCAGCTGCTGGCTGCCTCTGATTTCTGAGGTGTTGTCAAAGGCATAGAGAGAGAGAGGGTGGAGGGTGGAGGCAGGGACGCCTCGGCCTCCCAGCGGATCCCACTCTGCCTTCTCACTCATGCCTACAGAGTCCCGGGCATTAACAGTACAGGATTCAGACTCGTCTCCTGGTACTTAACACTACATGCTTTCAAAAGCCTAAACAGTATTCGGGGCTGAGAAAAATCAGAGGTAAAGCAGTAACTTCATGCTGCAATAAACCCACTGCTAATATCTCTACAATTAAACTAATTACAAGCCACTGCACACACACTGCACCCAACATCTGGGTGAGGAGAACACTGGCATATGCTGCAGGAAAGAGGTTTTATTGGGGTGGGGTGGAGAGAGGTGAGGTGGGTGGAGTGGAGGAAGGCTCATCTAAGCTGAACAAGGAGAAGCATCTGTTGAAACATCATGGACTAACCCAGTGGTCGGCAAACTGCGGCTCGCGAGCCACATGCGGCTCTTTGGCCCCGTGAGTGTGGCTCTTCCACAAAATACCACGTGCGGGCGCGCATGTACAGTACGACTGAAATTTCGTGGCCCATGCGCAGAAGTCGGTATTTTGTGGAAGAGCCACACTCACGGGGCCAAAGAGTTGCATGTGGCTCGTGAGCCGCAGTTTGCTGACCACTGGACTAACCTATCAACGGTAAATGCCATTAAACCCAGGCCATTATCAGTTAGAGTTTTAAGAAAATTGGCTGGTAATGATGTTTGTTGGTTTCCTTGAAAACTAAACAGTGTTCTCTGATCCACCTAGGAAGTATTTCAAAAGGGGGGTAAAAAAGTAGTAAAAAAAATAGTAGCCCCTAATTACCCAACTTCTAAATGATCTAAGAAAGCATCTTAAAGGCTTCTCATTCTGTGTTTTAATAAAGGAGTAAGATGTCCGTGCCATACATTTGATGTGATATACAGTAATAACCTGACTGCAGGATTGCAAACCAATTCCACACCAACAAACCGTTTACAAAGACAATCTCTGTGTAGTGAAACCAGCTCCAAACCTAGCCAACTTGTTTTTATAACCCTGGACATAAAAATTTTACTGTGCTGGGTGGTTAACGGTGAACAGACCACCACAGTGCTTTGCCCAGCGACAAGAAGAGCTGGCATCTTGAGGCATCTGTTTCCATACCCGTGCTCCCCGGGGGGACCGGGTGCCTTGAGCTCAGCATCCCCCTTCCTCCACCTGCCGGTCCTTACTCTGCATACATCACATTCAATCACTGGATGTTTCCTAGCAAATGGAATTTATGTTTATATGGATCTTACATGCAAATACTTCCTCAAGATTGCAGTATAGGGTCCCTTATGTATTACTCTCACCCTTCAAACACGGAGTATTGCCTAGTCCCTGTTTAATTGTAGCACCTTGCCTTCTCATCACTAGACAAACAGTGCTGCATATAGTACAGACCACTGGAATCTTCTGTTCTTTTCAATAATACCCGAAAGATCCTGCCATTCCCTCTTAACTGAGGTTCAGCTTTAGGGGTAGGAGGGTGGATAATGAAAAAATCTACCAGATGCCCAGCTTGTCAATAGATACTATGCTGGAAGGCACTTGCCTATTTCCTTTAAAAAAATATGCTTTCAGTTTATAAAATGTACAATGCAGAACGAGCAGACCCATTAGGCCAGGCAGTCACTGCTCAAACCCAGAGTGCAAAACCCTCCCAGGTCCACAGGAGGTCTTGCTCAAGTGCATACGGAGAGGCTCATGAATGAACACAGCAGCAACCAGACAGCCCTGCTCTGTAATCACTGCCGACGCCTGGAAAAGCTCAGCTCACACCCACTGTCACTTCACAGGGCGGGAGAGCCCATAAAAGAACATCAAGCAGGCACATCACCCCAAACGGGGGCTTTTAACACTGTCGACTTAATTTATTAACATTTCCCTTAATTTTAAAATAGCTCCATGAAACTGAATACAAGTTTGCTATTTTGTTGAAGTCAATAAAACCATCAAGTTCTGGGATAACACAAATGAAGCATTTATCATAACTAAGTAAATCCAGTCTAAAACGCCTGGGGGACAACATGTTACACTGTAGGTAGCAGGATGGCGGTGGGAGGACACGAAAGCTTTTGGAAGAACCATCACTCAAATACGCATAAACCCTCAGTACCACTCTCTGGCAGACACGCCAAGCCTCTCTCCTGGAATAAGGCCATTTTATGTCCTTTGAAAGCGAATTAGAGTTGTGTCTCGGAACTTTTCCATTAGGGCAATTTATTTATCAAGCTGTTTCAGAGTTTCATTGTAAAAAAAAAAACAAACCCACAAAAACACACAACAAAGCATCCAACAACAACCAGAGTGACCTGCCACATCCTGAAGGAGCAGTAAAAATCACAGGAAAAGCCTTTGATGTAGGAAGGGAGGACCTGGGTCCACACATTAGCAGAAGAAAAATTTTAAGCATTGTGTTGGTAACAAAGAATGACTAAAACAAGTTCCTCTTCTAAGTTCAACCCCAGGGCACTGAGTTTAGAAACTCAGGACATGAAAGCAGGCATGTCACAGCTCAGCTGCAGAGTTCCTCTCCCCACCCCAACCCCCAACTTTCTCTCCTCGCTTGCAACCACCCAGTGGCCAGTCGTGTAGCAAGTCACCACTCTCGTATCGCCTTCTTAGCTCCGACTGCCACATGGTGCCTGCTTTCATTTCCTTGACCGAGAGCTCTCACTTCCGCTGCTCATGTTTTAAGCTGTGAGATCCCTTATAACAATTACACAGAAATTGACCTCCCATCTGTATGGTGGGCCTCAATGGTAAAGGCTAAGTTTGAAAGTTGGATTGGAAATTCCTTGCGCTGATATTAACAAACTCACTCTGAAGTATGATTCCAGTTTACCAAGATGTAATACAAAGTCATGAATTTATACTCAGGCTTAAAATAACAAAAACAAGGACAGAATTTTTGGTATTTTATGGCTCTTTGAGAGGGAAGAAAGTCTAAATATAGGGTTTCCTCCCAAAAATGTACACACACACTTAGAATAATTATAAAGGCAGTGTTTATTAAAAACACATCTCATTTTCAAAATTGAACTACCAGCTGTTAAAGTGAGCATACTTTCCTGGGGACTTCCAGAGCAGTCGGATCCCTTAAAGACCATCCGGTAGAGCCTGATCGTGTTTCCGCAGGGGTCAACTGAGGTCTAGAAAAGGTTAGGTGCCTGACCCCGGATCACAAAGCCGGCTGGCGTCTGGATTAGATTCCCAAGTGGAGAGAGTGAACACAGGCACCGCAGGCCCAGAAGATAACCCTTCTAAGGAGAAGCGTGGCCTTACCTGCAACTGAGTTGGGCCGTGGCATTATTAGCGAGCTGGAGCTCTGAGAGTAAGGGACTGGACCATCTCCACCGGGGGCTTCGGCTGTGGGCAGCACGCTCTCCGCGGACCCAGCGGGCTCCTCTTCCGCCACTGGGGAACAATTATCTGCCCTCCGATCATGAAGCACGCCCTTCTGCACCCCTAACCTTAGGCTTCCGTCCTTATTCCATTCCAAACTGGAGCCACTCCGGTCATCATTTTCGGATGAACTTGTAATTGTGGCTGAAATGAGAGACCAAAAGACTTTGAAGGCTGGCAGGCACCACTGGGGCTGTTGAGAATTCACACACACACACACACACACACTCACACTCACACACACACACACACACACACACACACACACACACACAGCCCTCCCCACCATCAAGGGAACGTTTTCCGGTCCACACAGATTTTTATCAAAGTCTGCTTCATACAATGTGCTTTGGTAAATTAGAAGAATGCTGCTTAATAGGGGATATAAACTGCTAAATTATTCTACAGGGGAGGAAAAAGAACGCTGATAAGAAGATAATGAAAAAGCTGTCGAAACATATCTAGCGTTAATGTATATCTGTGTGATTTGGAGATGATGTTGCCTCTCTTTTGTAACAGATGAATTGCTCACAAAAGAACTCATTAAATTCCTTTGGCCCTTTAAATAATTTTTCCAAATTAACATCTGTGTACAGGGGAGAGGACAGGGCAGCACCATGGTTCATGCAGAAAAGATGCAGGAGAAAAATCTATAAAAACAAAAATGCAGTGATGGAGTCAAGCAGAGAATTTGGTCGTTAGCATTAAACTTTGTAACATTTGTTCAAGACCATCCCCAGAGGCTGACTGGACTTTATTCCTTTAGTGGCGTAGACTGGAAAGCCACTATGTAAACAACGCAAGGAAAACACGAGTGTGGGAAGGATCACGTGATTGCAGAATTAAAATTTAATCTCTAAGGAAGAAAACTGGCACAAAAGAACGTCCAGGCAGAAGAGGAGGAAAATGATGAAGAAAAACAGCAATATAGGGCAGGGCAAAAGTAGGTTTACAGTTATGAGCATGTGAAAGTTTACTCTTCTATTTTTTATTAAGCATTGTGTTCTTTTCCATCCGAACAACTGTAAACCTACTTTTGTCCCACCCTGTAGGCACCTTACGTCGCTTCTATAAATAGCCACTTCCAATTTCAAGGCCCTGAGCCATATGAGATGTTCACCTTGTGTCCTTGAGAACAAGGGCCATGTCTTCTGATCCCTCTGTGTCCCTGCTGTGTGTGGTCAGACTGCATTCAGAACCCAGCGCCTGGTTTAAGCTGTTTCATCCACAGACCAGGAGGACACACACTCTTATCAGCAGGCTGGTGAATTAGGTCCACAGAGCCTGCTATTGGGGATCAAAAGGTCCGAAGGGATTTCACTTATTTTTACAATGCTCCTTAAGGCTAACGAGTAAAGAAAGAACAATTTCCTCTCTGTGACTGCAGGGCATTCTGCCCCAATTCTAAAACTGTCTTGCTCCTGCTGCTCCAGTCAGGACTTACCATTCACTTCTTGTCTTTCTATGTAAAAATGCCCCCTGCACTCTGCAGCCTCCCTCTTCACGAGTATCTACTACCAGGATCTCTTTTCTGAACAGCACCACGCCTGGCACATGCTAAGTGCTCGATACACGTTTGCTAATTCAATGGGTGAGCAAATGAACACACTCCTATTCCAGGTGGGGTCACCGCCGGTCATCTCACTGTTATTGGTTCAGGATGGTTGGTATTATGTCTTCAACCAAAGTGTAAATTTATTTGTGACAGGCCCGTCATACCTTTTGGGTGTCTGTCATTATTCCCAGCATTTCCAAGTATTCTATCCAGAGTATTAATACTCATCTCCCATCTGTTTGGAATCAATTGCAGCCTTCACTGTGTGACCCATTAAAAAAAAGCCTCCCATTCGTAGGAGCGTAAGTATAGCAAGTATAACTTTCTATCCTAAAAATGCTACTAGTGCTGGTGGTAATAGCAGCAATGAGCATTTCCATATGCCATGGACTGTGCTAAGTGCTTCACAGGAATACACTAATTTATTGATGGGCTGATTCCTCACTCAATGGCAATTAATTACTCATTGCAACCCTATTAATAAGTTGTGCATGTGTTACAAACCTTCATTTATAATGCCAGTATTTATCTGCATTTCCCACAGATATGCTATAATTAATTAGGTTCCCAGACTGTGCCAATATCTAAGTTATAGGCTGGGGTGGGGGTGATTTATTCGGTTTCAGAGTCGTCTGTTTTATTTTGGGGTGCATATCCTTAAGGTGAATAATAAAGTCAAAGTGATGTATCTCCCCTAAGTATCGTGCACTTCAGAATCAAACCCCCAAGGATCTGAGTCCTCACCCAGACCTCGAGCGGTGGGAACACAGACAAGGGACTCCCCTACTTCCTGTGGCAAGTGACAGCCCCAGAAGCAGAGCCAGCCTGGCAGGGCTCCCGGACTGAAGGAACAGGCTGAAGGCCCAGTTCTCACCAGACAGCCACAGCGCCCAGGCCCTGACACCTGGCACCGTCCAGGTCCTGGCAGTGAGCAGGAGAGTGGGCGGGGAGGAAGGCCCAGCTGCAGAAACAGTAGCTGAGATGAGAAGTCCCAGACAGGGGCGCCACTTCAAAAGCACGGTATTATAAGCTGATGAGATGTTGGTAAGTCGGAGACTCTCCACTGCCCTCATGAAGTTCACCATTGCTCACATTATCAATTTTTAATGATATCATTTCCCATTAATCAGCAATAATTAATTGCCATTAATCAGCAATAACCTCATTAATTAGTGTAGTCCTGTGAAGCACTTAGCATTCCGACATCCACACTCACCAGGGCCCTGAAGCCAGAAGCTCTGAGGCCACGGGCCCTCCAACAAACATAGTCCACTAAGATTGCCCCACTTCGCAAGATCCTCCTCCCTGGGATCCAATACTGGGTCCACCTACATGGCTCGAAGCCCAGGCAGTGTACTTGCACCTTGGCTCAGGCACCATCAAGTCCTAAGCAGATGCAATGGGGCCGATAAAGGCCCCCCTGTCCAGTTTCCCTCGTGACCTCAGGAGCACACCAGGGAGGGCGGCCCCACAGTCTCCAGCAAAGGAAAGCTGGTTCTGACAACAGATGACAGGCTACGAAAAACTTCTTTGTTTCTTTCCAGCTAACAAAATCCAAACTCCTACTTAAATTAACCCAGTTGCCTTCAAGTTCCCTCTCTCTCTCTCTCTCTCTCTCTCTCTCTCTCTCTCTCTCTGTATAAACTATCTTTTCTTAAACTCTGTCTCTTTCACACACACACACACACACACACACACATACCATTTTAACTATGACTTTATTTTAAAAAGCATTAAAAAATAAGCTATTTTACACTTTTTGGAGACTGGATAATCTTTAAAGTTCCCTAACAACTTGAAAATTTTAACATTTTATTCCTTCAGCCAGTATAGATGCCAGCTTTTGTCAATTAAGACAGTATGAAGAGATTAACCAAAGAACTTATATGCATATGCAGGGTGTCCCAAAAACATGTGTACACACTTTAATAACTGATAGCTCACTTGGTATTTCTTTCTTTTCAGACAGACTAAGCTTTGAACAAAGGAAATTCTTCCTAAAATGCTACTGGAAGTTTGAAAACAGAGTTGAAATGCAAACACTGCCTTTATAATTATTCAAAGTATATACACATTTTGGGGGCATACAGGGTATCTCCCAAAATGTAAACACACTTTGACAGCTAGTAACTCATTTCATTTTCACTCCTTTTCAGGTTTAACTGATTTGAAATAATGGGTGAAGTCAGACTAAGCTTTGAACAAAGAAAATTTATCCACTAGAATTTTTTATGGGGATACATAAAAGATAAAGTTCATGGTACAAAACCCGCAACAGCTGACGAATTGAGAGAGCACAAACACCGAATGAAATGATTCTTGATGTTTGTGATTCCATTGCTTTGTGTTATCAGCGGTGCCTGGACCAGAACAGTCATCAGTTTGAAAGCAGGCACTGACAAAACAAATTATTCATTTCTGTAGATTCTTTTAAATTTTGAAAATGAATCATATGTTACTAAACACTGACTGTATAATCATTCAAAGTGGGCATACATTTTTGGGGGGCACCCTATCTGTATACCCCATGGACACAGACAGCAGTGGGGTGGAGGCCTGGGGCGAGGCAGGGGCTGGGTGGAGGGGGGTAAAGAGGGGGACATGGGGACACGTGTAATACTCTCATCAACACAAGACTTGCTATCATCACTCACACTGGGTCTCAAGCACGTTTCCAACAGGCAAGGTTCTGTAAATGAGTGATTTATCAGGCCTCGTGTTAGCAAGCTGTGAGGTTACATGGAGTCCCAAGTGTAGTATTAACTTAGGTTGGGTACTGCTTGCTGATTTACATGTGTTACTTCTGACTCTCTGTGTAGTATGAAAATTATTTTTAACCACAAACAATGTGTTATCTTCCTCTGTAGTAACAGCACAATTTAACTAGACTGACTATGCTAGTGCGCAGGGCTATACTATTTTTTTAAAAAAGTAGCCGAAACCGGTTTGGCTCAGTGGATAGAGTGTCGGCCTGCAGACTGAGGGGTCCCAGGTTCGATTCCGGTCAAGGGCATGTACCTGGGTTGCGGGCACATCCCCAGTAGGAGATGTGCAGGAGGCAGCCAATCGATGTCTCTCTCTCATCGATGTTTCTAACTCTCTATCTCTCTCCCTTCCTCTCTGTAAAAAATCAATAAAATATATTTTTAAAAAAAAAAGTACAAAATGTATTAGGACATACACACGACCACAACCTTGAAAAGAGGTGGAGGGCTGAGAACCATCAACCCCACACTTATAGATACTTTCTCAGGAGAAAATGATCACACACACACGGAGTTAATGGTATGTCTGATACCAGTTCTCTGACTGCACACTCCCTTTACCATGTACAAGTTGCTCTGAATTATCCGTGGCTAAGGGATATTTTGCAGTTCATGAAGTTTGCCTTGTTAAAAACAGTAGCCCCTGGGCAGGGGGCTTTGGACAGGGGCCAGTCATGGGCTCACAGCAGCCAGGAAGGAGCCACAGGTGGGGAGGTGGGGGAAGCAGAGAGAGAGATCCACTCAGTCATCAAATGTTTCGGTACATAAGCCTCCGCTATAAAGCTATATGCCTTCTCCTTCCCAATCTTCCTTCGCCCCCTCTG